TTTATATGCAATAAAATTTAAAGCCTTCCTGTGCACAGATTTCTGTGGGCTACATTGCATTGATCACAGAACATCACTTCTGCATCAGATGAGAGTAAAAACATAATTCATTGCAGCACAGAATCAGGTCAAGATCTTCCTGACAAAACACTCTTGCCTGATGGCAGAGTTGCTGAAAATTTTGACTGAAGAACAAAGTGTAGAAGATACAAAATAAAGAACACATTTATGATTTTTTGGCCCTTACACATTTTATGTAACAGCTCACTTCAATATGAACAATGAAGTCAGAGTTTGTGTTGGGATTCCTTGACGTTTGCAGCAGTTTTGAGTTCACTGGCTATGTTTTGTGTCAAATAAACAACCTCAGGCTTAAAGAACACTTGGGAATTCTTTTTTATCCGGAGGGAGCTTTCTCTGAATTTCTTTCTGTTTTATAATTATAAGAAAGTCTGGGCAATGAGCTACCAAAACTATTCTGTAATTTTATAAATTAATTTCCTACAATTTATGCGAAAAGGGTCAGGGAAAATGTAATAATTATGAATGAAGGAATGGGGGGTTCTGCTGTGGTTTGAGTCCACTTGTCCTCTTGGATGGAAAGGTCACTGTAAATCATTAAAAAAAATGTAAGTGATCACTTTTACCAAGTGATGAAAAATTTCAGTCTGATGGGACTGGTCTCTTCCAAGATAAGAGTCCCTAAATTCATAGAGCATTATGATGGCGGGACCAATAGTCCCACTGAACTGTTTGATTAATGTGAAAATGACCTGAACCCAACCAGAGTGCCTAGAAATTGTCATGGTCTCCGTGCCTGCCCGGTCGGCCCCACAAGGCTACAATTGCTGTTTCTGTTCTCTCCCTCTCTGCCTGGGCGGAGCTCACTGTGGGCTCCCGCCCTTGGCCCACACACACACCTGACAACACTCACCCATCATCACCGGGAGCACTATTTGAGGCTGGAACACAGATCCTCTTGTCGCTGGATGATTGTACCCCCAACGTTAGTGTTCTCACAGCTCTTGTGCTTCATATTTGTGATTTGTGATTAGTTGGTGACCTGCCTTCTCGTCTGCCTCAGATCTTGCCCCCGGACCTGCGACCTCCCTGCTGCGGGAACGTGTGTGAGTGTGAGCGAAGAAGACGTGAGCGAGTTACCCTGTGATTCCCCCGGAGTTTTGGATCCCTTCACTGTACATATATTGCACTGGCACTGTAAATAAACTACACCTTGGAGATACCTTACCGCTCTGCGTTTGAATCCCTGTACCAGATCGTGACAGAAATTCCACCACCATTAACACTTTACCCTTTGAAAAACCTACTAGAAGCTCTTTTCTGAAATGAGGAGTCTCTGTCATATTTCAGGCATGCCTATCGAACAAAATGACTGGGTTTGTGTCAGAAGTTAGTGAGGGTGGTCTCTGTCTCTGCAGTTACCTTTGGAAAAACCAGGAAACTGTTCTGTCTTTGATATATTCGGAGGTGTCAAAACTTGTTATGAATGGTACAGGGGAGGTCGTCAAATGTCATCTTTATAGGGGGAAAGAGCTAAAACCAAAAAACGATGGATGAAATATCTTTTAGAAGAATGGTGTTCAGTCCATCCACTAGCGTTCATGAGACTTGTGGAATCAGTGGCAAAGTGCATTAAAGTTGTGGTTTTCTTTCTTTTTTTCCCACTCATCTGTAATTTGTCAGATGGCCACACTGTAACTCAGTGATGGGTTTTTAATTGTTTTGTGGTGAACAAAAGCGTTGCCCCTGACACACCTGCTAATGGAACCATCTGTTTTTGGTCATTTGTATGGGTCAAAACTGAAGTCACGTTGTCAAATCTGCTATTACAGTAAGTGAAACAGTCTATGTGGATAAAAAAACGTGAAGAGTTTTCCATTGCTTTTACACAAAATGCATTAAGTTGCCACATATTTTCAAACTCCAGTAACTCTGCAAAGAACATTATTTAAAATGCTAAAAACCTGTTTACAAAAACCCCACAGATGGTAAATTCTGTACATTTCTACAAAGAACATCAAGAATCTTTGTAGAAGACTTTCCTCTGACTTGCGATCTATCCAGTAACAAACAAAAAAACACAGTGTTTTCTGTTTTGTCCATAAATTTTAACCACAATTTTGTGTATTTTCTTGTAGAGTAAATCAAGCTGTTGTTGTTACCTATGTTGTCTTCAGGGAAGTCTGCAGTGACTCTGCAGGGATTATATTTGCTCTGTTCACCTCTGCAACTGAATTCAAGTCAAAAGGTTTACAGTTTTGTTGGACTTATTCAGCTCATTTACTATGTATTTCTGTGCATAAACAATAAATGTGACCTTCAATGCCCTAGAAGTTTTAAAAGTAAGTAATTCAGAAAGAAAAATGTATGTTTCATACATCAGGACTTGAAAACAAGTCAAATTCGACCCAAACAATGTTGATGAAAACGTTCCAACTTTCACCAAGAAGAAGTAAAACTTTACAGTACAGCATGATGTGCAATAATTATTGAGTTTACTATTTTTTACAGTAGCAATGGTTAGCACAACCAGGAGTGGTCACCTTAAATTGGGAAGGCCCTACATTCAGCCCCAACCAGTTTGAGTTTTTCTGTGTGAATATTGCTTGAGATGATTGAGATGTTGTCCCTGTACCTGTGTGGGTTCTCTCCGAGTGCTCTGGCTTTCTCCCATCATCCATCTGCTGTTAGGTTAATTGGTGATTCAAAAAAATTGGCCGTAGGTGTGAATGTGAGCATGTCTGTCTCTCTGTATTTGCCACGTGATGGACTGGTAACCTATGTTGGGTGTAGCCTGCCCCTTGTGCTGACAGCTGAGATAGTCTCTAGAACTCCTCCATCCACAAGCCCCCACCTGCTCCTTCCCTGGTCCTGTGACCTTATATTGGGTAATCAGTTAAGAAAAGGATCAATTGATTGACAATATTTTCCACAGAATCTTAAGTGAAAATTAATAGAAAATTTAAAAGCATTTATATTAATGATTTTCTAAAAATGTATTATTTACTGTGAACTGAACATCCATATTATTTAGTATCCTCAGCTAATCATCATTTTAAATTCAGTATTGACTTAACTGTCATGGATATTAACAACAGCCAGTGATTGTCTTTAAACTGAAGGCCTGGATGGATGTCACATCGGTACCTCTAATACCGTGGACAATTCCAGACAGCACCGTTAAGATACAGACTATACATTTGTTAGGATACAGTCATAGTTGATTTTGGTCTTGCAATTTATTTTTTTGATTGTAAAGTACAGGTATGAATAAAAAAACAACAACATTGTTTCACTGTACATGTTGCGCAGTCTAGAGTTTTTGTTGTTGTTTTAAATTAATCCTTTATTTATCCAGGTAAAAATCTCACTGAGAATAGGAGTAGGTTTAGGTTTAGATGGGAGTTATTTTAGCCACATGTTAAATAAGCTCATTGTCAGAAACTAGAAGATGTTATCTTTCCAATAAAGTCTCACACATTGATTTTTGTTTCACTGTTCCTCTGTTCCATTTGGCTGTTTCAAATAGGCGAAAATTCAATATAAAGGGTTGAACTTACTACAAATCCTAGTGCCAGATGGGACTTGACCTGATGTTAAGAGTCCCATTATTCTTTCCACCAAGTACAGTAATAATAATAATGGATTGGATTTATATAGCGCTTTTCAAGGCACCCAAAACGCTTTACAATGCCACTATTCATTCACACACTGGTGGAGGCAAGCTACGGTTGTAGCCACAGTTGCCCTGGGGCAGACTGACAGAAGCAAGGCTGCCATATCGCGCCATCGGCCCCTCTGGCCAACACCAGTAGGGTAAAGCGTCTTGCCCAAGGACACAATGACCAGGACAGAGAGCCCAGGGATCGAACCGGCGACCTTCTGGTTACAGATATGCTTCCCAACCACCCTGAGCCACGGTCGCCCCACAGTCTTTGCATCTTGACCACTAAAACTGTTCATGGACAGAAGCTGAAGGTCTTCTGCCCATAAGAAGAAGAGAAGGGTTAGTGAAGTTGGAACACTGCCCAGCATCAGTAAAAGTACATGTCACAGACCGTGGAGATTTATTCTAAACCTAAATGTGTTATTTCAGATTGCATATAACTATGAGGTCCTTAAAATGATGACACTGTACCTTTGATGCCGCTGCCTAGCAAAAAGGAAAAGACCTTGAAAATTAGACCTATTAGCCTGCTGGGTCTGGCTGCATGCATGCCAAGTTTGAAGCACAGTTGTTGAAATTGGTGAAGACAAAAAAGACGATGGTTATAGTTTATTTTTTTCTTTTAATAACTGAGATGATGCCACTGAATTAAACCAAGTTCAGAATACCTAAGTCTGCTACACTGTATTTCATAAAAACATACATGGAAAAATCTACAGGTTAGAAGTTGCTTCCAAGCTTCATCAAAATTACACTCGTTTGTAATCAATCAAAGTATTATCATTTTGGACACAAATGAGTAGTGTGCTCAGAGTCAGTATCTGCTTTTCTCAGCTGGTATTGAGGTTTTGTAATGAGGTCATTTACCATGATTACATACCTATTTTTTTTTTTCTTTTTCAAAAATTTCATTTATTCATCACATATAAGAATACCAGCAAACATACCTTGGAGCTGAGGGGCACATTAAAAGAAAATCACACTGGCGCGTTTCTGTTGATCAGTGCTCTACTTTGGCTATAATTGATCAGATTATACCGGACACTGTGAGACACAGCTTTGTGCTGGTTGGAAATGAAGCCGTTTTCCTCCCACTTTTCTTCTTCGGACAGTTTATCCAAACCTGTAAACTGTATCATCATCCTTCACGCCTTTGCTGGGCTGCTTGGTGCGTTACTGTAAAAGAAGAAACATTTGACTGATTAGGCCTACGAGTAGCCTACCACTCCGTCTCCTCCTCTCCGCCTTTCTCACTCTGCCATTGGTTAGCACAGGGCAGGCTCCGGGATGATGATGCCTGGAAAGGGGGGTAAACTCGGAGCGCACGTCTCCCCTGCTGCGCACACACGCACAGCAAAAGTGAAGTGAAGATGCTTTTTCCCTTTCGACAAACAGTCCAGCCCGCCAGCCGTTCACTTCTCCTGCTGCCGCTGCTCCTCCTTCTCCCAACAGAGCGTCCAACTGTCCGCTTCCCTGGTTTACACGAGGAACTTGCGCTGCCGGGGCTCGTCCAGCTCGGAGGAGGAGGCAAGAGCAGGCATCAGAGACCCGGAGCACCGTCAGCTCTATAGCGTATCCGTGGAGAGCTACGCGTCGGTATGGGCACGCTGACAAAAGGACGTTACCTCGTTCTGAGGGGGCTCCTGCTGCTTATTTATTGCACAGCATCGGTTATCTCCAAAGGTAAGAGCTGTGTGTGTCCGTGTGCATGCGTGCCTACTTTGGGTGTTTACTGCGCTGTAAGCGCTTTCAGCCGGTCGGTAAAAGAAGAGAGACAATTATTGGGTGCCATCCCCGTGGTTACGCACCACCTGTCACGATTTTTGGTTCATGTTTGAGGTTTACAAATACTTCCCAGCTCACATTCAGTATTCAGCAGGTGATCCTGAGTCTCACTCGGACTTCAGATTTCCACTATTTGAGCATTCTCTCTTCACTGCGCAGTGGAGCTTCTGCTATTGATTCATCAAGCCACAGCTCGCGCCGTCAAGTTCCTACACTCTTGGTCTTTTTTTACGTCTCCCCTCGAATCGATGCCAGTCGTCCCATTCCACTAAGTTTTTAGTCGTGAATGAATCCATCACCGTGACTGCGCTGTAATCAGCACTGCTGGCTTTAATGAAGGCACGCCTGTGCAACAGGCATGCCATTTTATCTGAGAGTTCCAGAGCTAGTCCTCCTTTTTAAATGATCCGCTTCCTGATATCACGAAGTGAATACAGTGCCAGAGCAATGTATGTAGAGGTTTGTGCGGGACGCAGAGATATTCATCAGCAGCTACCAGAGCGACTTCAACCAAGGGTTTTCGTTTCTTTTTAGAAGCCCACGGTGAAAGTGCTTTACATTTACTTGATAAAAATACCTTTGAATGAGAGGTGACTGTGACAAGTGGGGGGTCGTGTTGAGGGTAGGAAATCTGCCCCTGCTTGATGTTCTATTTTCTTTCTTTTTCCAGAGAACCCAAAAGAACAAATACAAGAGGATAGATTTAGTCCCTTAAACACAAACAAAAAGAAAATAAAAATCCATGTTAAATCATCTTTATTTAATACACACTGTACAGTTTTCTGTAGCCTGTATTGGTTTTAGAGATTTTAAGCTGTTGCACTGAACCACATCACCCGTTTGAATCAGATGTTACAGAACAAGCCTACAACCCAACCAGAATATGCCCTGCAGACATCTGGTTGTGTCTGTGTTGATCTTATGACTCTCACATCTCCATATTTTAGCCACTTAAATAGCAGTAGCACAGAGCAGAGTGCCTGAGAGTGAGATGGTATTTGGTGTTAAAGGTTCCCTGCAGGTTTAACTGGTTACATAGCAGCCTGTGGAGCTGAACAGAGTTCAGATTAACGTTACACGACTTTACGCATCATGAATGTGCAAAGTCTGCTTTTTTTCATTGTGAAGCCAGAAACTCTGGCTTTTTTCCACCTTATTGCTGCAATCTGTTTGCCGTGAAGAAACTGATATACATCATCTTCCACAAATGTAAAAAAATATTCTCACCCTGCACATGCCACTCATTCAGAATAACTCAAATATACATTATCTTGCAAAATATGCATCATTGTTTTTCTTCATATTCTGCAGAGAATCTAAAATCTCAAAAATGCAAAAAGTGATTTGTTTTTCATTATTCATTTATGAATCCTACACACACCCACAAAACAAATAACGCCTTCACACTTGATTTTATGCTCAAGTCAAAAAAAGGAAATTAAAAAATGGATCAGAGAGCGAACTCTGATCCATTTTAGTAAAAGACGGGAAGTCATTGACCAGCGTGCAGGGAGTTAGACTGGCAGCAACACAAACACTGTGTTAAAATAATGATTGTTTACATTTTTGTAAACAAACTATTGCCGGTTCTCTCTTGTCGATTAGATGTGGAGACAGCTGTCATCAATCTGTTGTACATTAACTTGTAATTATGAGGATATTAGGATAAGGAATGCAAGTATGCAGCAGGATCTTGTAATGATGGCAGTTTCATTTCGACCAAACGGAAATCGGTAGGTCTGCTGTCATTACTGATCAGTCACACACAGAAAAATAGAGTTAAACTGGGGGTTCCATTTATTCTTGAAGGTAACATTAAATATTGAGTGAATATGATGTTATGAAACCAACATACTTTACTTATGTCGCATCCCTCTAATTTCAAACCACCAGTCATAATTAGGACCTCGAAGCTGGGCAGAAATTCAGAAAAGTGATGCAGGGGAAAAAAAAGCACAATAAGACCAGAGAACAGTAGAGCTGTCAGGCAGGCCACAAATGTTCACACCAGCAAACATCATGAATTACTGTGTGCTGAAAAGTTGTTAGATTGGATTTTGATCAGTGGTCCCAAAAAACATTTTGCCTACCACTACTTTAAATAATTTCATCATTATTAATGGTGACATTTTTATGGATGTCTTCATCAGTAGTTTCTGTTAGCCTACAGACAGACGTTGGAATTAACTTGCATTAACTAAAATGGTTTACAGGTTTTATTCACTTTTTACTGTTGTTAATGGATGTAATTACTGATCATTAACCTTAATAATAATGGATTGGATTTATATAGCGCTTTTCAAGGCACCCAAAGCGCTTTACAATACCACTATTCATTCACTCTCACATTCACACACTGGTGGAGGCAAGCTACGGTTGTAGCCACAGCTGCCCTGGGGCAGACTGACAGAAGCGAGGCTGCCATATCGCGCCATCGGCCCCTCTGGCCAACACCAGTAGGCAAGTAGGGTAAAGTGTCTTGCCCAAGGACACAACAACCAGGAGAGAGAGAGCCCAGGGATCGAACCGGCAACCTTCCGGTTACAGATGCGATTCCCAACCCCCTGAGCCACAGTCGCCGGTCATACTAATTAAATAAAGGTTATGTAGTAATAACAACAACAACAACAACAACAACAACAACAACAACAATAATAATAATTTGTAGAAAATGCGCATCACTTGTCTGTTTTGGTAGTGGGATGGCATCTACAATGTACTACAAACTAACTTATCAACATAAGCTACTTAACTTCTCCTACCTTGAGTTGTGGCTTGTCTCTTCAAGTAGCCCCTTCAATTTTAATCAATCAGTTTCTACCATGCCTAAAGATGAGGCATACATTTTGGGTGAACACATCAAAATGTTCTAATATAACCTAAAATCTATTGTGTAAAAATCACGTGAGCAAGTTTGTCTAGGAAAAGGAATAGGAATTAAGCCAGGGACCACTGTGAGTACCTCCAATGGTGAAAAAAAGGAACCATTAAAGCACACAACTACAAGCAGATTGCCAATGTTCTAGTAAGTCACTGATTCAAATTCTATTTGTTAGCAATTTTTCCCATAAAATTAAATAAAGGTGTAAATTGATAGCTGGATATATTAATTAAAATAAAAAAATGAAAGTAAAGACAACAGTATTGTTGTGTATAGCTTTTTATTCATGCCTAATGCAATTATGTAGCTAATCAGTTCATGCGGAACTGCATCCCTTTCTACACACATAACACAGAAATACAAAAAAGGATTATTACAGAGGCATTTATAAAAACAAAACATAAAGATGATTTCGTTTTTTAAACTGAAACACTTTCCATTAGGGAAGTATTGAAACAAAAAGAAAATGAAAGTTTAAAAGATTCCTTTTATCTTAGGGTGTGTAATGTCACAAAAGAAATACACAACAAACTTTTATTTGCTTTTTGTCTGTGTGTGTGTATCAAATGAAAAATGATTGTAACTTTTTCCAATTTTGTTTTCTCAGTTGCAGATTTAAAAAAAAAAGAATGTTGAATTGTTTGGCAATCTCTACCTTCTGGTTGCATATATTTATGACAAATTAAAGAGTGACTCCAGCAAGTTATTATTATAGTGGTTAGCAGAAGGGGTTAGAATGGAGGCAGTAAAAAATGTTTGGTGATAGCATGTAATAGTTAGAAAGGTCTAAATTGACTGGATCCTACAAGTTCTACATCAACATACTCAAGCAAAATATGGAATGCTTGAATTTTTACTGATATGTGACTCCAGCCTTTAGTTTAGGATTTAGACTCTTGTAAGAGTCTACATAGATGCACAAAATACATGAAAAAGCTTGACAGTATGAGACTATGTGCAGGTTCTCTCTGTATAAATACACATTTCTCTGTGGTTTTTCTTCAAAATTTGTTTAGCAGAATGAATACAATTTGCAGACAGCCAGAAGACATGAAAGTTAAACAGGTCAGTAAATGGCACACAGATTTCTTATTATCTTGAGTTCCTATATATTAAGGAAGTCGCCATCAAAAAGCTGACAGAAGCAGAAGTGTCGGCCCAGCATTCCTTGGACAGACTGTTTGTACTTTGCTCGAAGAACACAGAATTAATTTTGACTGAATTCAAACTTAAATCAGGAGCACAAGCACATTCAAAAGATGCTCAATGTTTCTATTTGTAGTCATTTTTATGTGGCGCCCTTCAGGGTGTTTACAGAGGTGTGGAAAGCAGCAAAAAGACACGGAACAGAATAGAGCAGTCGTCAGGGAGAATGGATAGGACATTAATTTAATCAGAAAGGAGGAGCTGGGGTGGAGGTGGGTTTCAAATTGGCTTGCAGATTAACAGTATCTGTGGGCAGGCTAAAGCAGCTTAATGTATATACAACTATAACACGAGGCGTCAGCTGATGTGGACTGGCACTGAGAACATGATCTGGTTTCATCTGAGCTTCACTTCACAACCTGCCTGCCTAGCATCCCGATTAAGTGTGGGACCATATCAAAAATAGTTCAGCAAATGATTATCTTCCGTATGTCCATTTTTTTCTTGAGGAGCAATTTTTGTCTATAGAATGTCAAAAAGATGAAAATACTGATTTCCAAAAAACAGAGGTCTTGAGTTTAATTAAATATCATAGAAAAAACAAAAGAAAACAACACATTTTAAAAAGTGAAAGATGTTTTATTATTTTTTTATACAGATTGTGCTTAAAAAGCATTACAGGTACTAATGGGCTGTCAAAACAGAGGCAGGGCATTTGAATGCTCGACTCTACCTTGTTGCATGTTACAACTTTTCTGCATATCACATCATTTTTAAAGGCCATGCATGTCATGACAGGTGTCACACTTTCCCACAAGTTTAGTCCTTGAATCAAACAGTAGCAAACAGCAGCAGTCCTGCTGCTCTGCGG